ACTGATTGTTGGTTTATTCTTTGGGTGCAGAGGAACAGTTTATGCACGATCAGGAACAGCGCTAACATCTGTTGTGTTCAGTTCTCCCCTCACTCCACTCACTTGTTGTCCTTCAGCTCTGCCGATTACAGAACATATTGCTTTGATCTTCGAAACGCATCCACGCCTTGGTGCGTGTTGGCTGGCCATGAAAGAGCAGTCAGTTATGCGAAATTTTTGGATGCAGACACCATAGTGTCTGCATCTACTGATAATACTTTGAAAGTTTGGGATCTAAAGAGAACGAGTCCCCACTCCTTCTCGAGGGATGCTTGCGTGTTGACTCTCAGTGGGCACACTAATGAGAAGGTTGGTTGGTTGAGCTTGCTATGACTACCTGTAGACGAGACGAGCTGAGCCGAGTTCGAGCTTGGGATGCTCGAGCTCGAGCTTTTAACGAGCCGAGCTGAGATCGACTCACTAAATAAATGAGCCAGAAATCGAGATGGAGGCCGGAACGAGCCGATCTCGAGCTTTAACGAGCTGAACTATAGAAAATTGTATAAAATTCTCTTTTCTAGACTTAACGCCGAGCTCAGCTCGTTAACCATACAAGCTTTAAATGAGCTCGAGGTCAGATCGTTAAGGCCTCGAACTCGAGCATTAATGAGCCGTGCTCGAGCCGAGCCGTGCTAGGCTCGTTTAATTTTAATAACACTAGCTATGACCAGGCAAATTTTGGTCATGCGGTAAAAATTTGTGGTTATTTGATGCCTGAATTTAAGGATTTATTTCTCTTGCAGAACTTTGTTGGCCTGTCGGTTGCTGATGGATACATAGCATGCGGCTCTGAGACGAATGAGGTAGTTCTCACTTCTAATTCATTTCTCTTTGTTGTAAGGGATCATTACAAGAATCACCAAAGAAAGAAAGAAAAATCCGTTTTCGAACTTGCACTGGCTGGCCCTATGAAGCCTGTGTGGCCCATTTAGCATCTCTGCATGCATATACCCCTTTGTATGTTGCAAACTTTCCTCTGGGGTCCATGTTTAGTGTTTACCTAATAGAATCCCCTTTTTGATGGGTGCATTTGTTGAGGAGAAGCAAATGTAAAGGGGATGTTTATAATATCCGCTAGCTACTATGTGTTCACGCATTTTTTTTTCTTTTTTTTTTTATTCCTTTATTTTTTATTATTATTATTTTTTTTTTAATTTCTGGAGCTTTTTAGATCTTAATGTCTGCATTATGCACATATGCTTGCAGGTCTATGCCTACCATAGATCACTTCCCATGCCAATTACCTCCCACAAATTTGGTTCATTCGATCCTATAACTGGTAAGGAGACTGAAAATGACAATGGACTGTTTGTCTCGAGCGTTTGCTGGAGAAAAAAGTCGAATATGGTGGTTGCCGCCAATTCATCCGGCAGTATCAAACTTCTTCAGTTGGTCTAGATGCACACTTTTCTTCCCACCTATGAACTCCCATTGCAAAAACCCAGAAATGATTACATGTGAAAGTTTTGGGTATATGATAAACTCAACAAGCCAAGTGCACGTGTATTCTTCGAAAGTTGGGAGTTCGCTTAATCGTTTCTGCCAAATTTTGTCAGGAGCTAAAATGTGAGATTATTATATCCACAGTATTCTCTACAGACGTACGTTATTGTCAACATTTGTTGTTGGGCGCTGTAGAGATGAACCGAGATGGGAAATTGTATATGTCCGTTTTGCAGGATTTATTTATATCTGTCGAGAAAAAAGTCGATTAAGACGACCAAAGACGATAATATGTGCCGTTGATTTGTGTTGTTCGAAGATTTTGTAGGCTCGAATTCTTGATGTTGGTTTGGTTGAGATGGTCTGTTCAGGGTACCTTCATTGTATATATCCTTGTTTTGTATGAATTTTTATGAATCTTTCTTCAAAGTATTGGAATTCAATACTGCAAATTTCAGTTTCACATGAAATCGCCTCTTAATTCATAAACAACACTGCTTCAATTGAATTAAATTAAATGAAAACAGCATGCGTTACACATTACATTAGTGATCTTCAACCCCCTTCAAACCTTTATTTAAAATGGTTATTTCTAATTTTCTCACAAATAACAAACTCCCTTAATACACCTTTGCTAATTGCAACAAGAAAATGCCTGAAATCACGGCCTCACCTGCGGTCTCCTTTGTATATACGGCAACCTTAATAATAAGCATTGCTCGGTTTTCCAATGCATTACGTGGCGGTATTGGATTTCCGCCTGAGGCTGGTGGGCCGGCACCTTCCGATGATGGGCCTGGGCTGCCCAAGCTAATAGAGTTTCCCGGACAACCAGGATATTTCTCAGGCCCTGGTGGGCTGGCACCATCC